TTAAGAAATGCTATACCATGGTAGTACTGGGGTTATAGGGTATACAAAAGGATCAAATTATTAAGAAACAAACTGAGGGTGAAAAGTAGGGCTGCACGATATTGGAAAAAACTGACATTGCGATTTCTTCCCCCTGCGATATATATTGATATATGAAAAAATACAAGAATTTAAGAAAATACTTCTTTTTTTTTGTCCGCAAACCATCCTTTCCTGAACTTTAATGCTTTACAATTGGTATTTTTCTAACTATATTTAACCGGATGAAGGATGTTAGTCACGGACGTCTGGATCTTAAGTTATCAGAGCAACAAGCTGAGCTAGCTCGGTTAGCAGCGCCGAACTGCCCTGGAGAAACACATGAAAATACTTTATTCAGTGTTTTTACCTTTAATCACCGGGTCAGTTTGCTTTGGAGATTTGATTCTGATTGGTGGTTTGCTGCATGTCACTCACTCAAGTACCCCTGACATGAAAGCCGCGTGAGTTTTCCTTTTGTAGCAAGCAGCAAAATAATTTTAACATGACGTGTTTGAGTTAATTTGCCTACTTAAAGGTGGGGTAGGTAATTCACTTCATAAACACTTTTTGTTATATTCCATGGAATGCTCTTAACATCCCGATAGCAAAGAATACATTAAATGCTTTGACAATAAATACATACAAACATTTCATCTGTGGAAGCCGTGGCGCTGTAAAAAGCACGACCAATCATCTGAGCCGGCCCGGCTAAAGTAACTGGATGGCCTACCTGCCTGTCAGCCTTCCATCTGTGCACAAACTTATCTCGTGCCCTCATTGGTCATGTGCGCGTCCGTGTGTGTTGGAGGAGGGGCTCTGTAAGGAAGTCTGAAGGAAGAGGCAGATTTTTTTCCGGTTGTGTATTTTCAAATTCTAGCCACTCGAGCTGGTTTCGCCATTCTTACCTACCCTACCTTTAATATCGCACGTCCTAAAAAAAAAATCCTGCGATGTGAATATCGCGATTATCATCACGACACAATATATCGTGCAGCCCTAGTGAAAAGTAAATAAAATACTTGTTTAATAAATATTATTTAATCATAATACTTTTTCCATGACAACATATCCATTGTATTTCTTTAAACGGTGGCAGGAGGGGGCTTATCAGATAAAAGATTGAAGTGCACGTCAACAAGAACAAACACTTAAAATAGTTAGTTTTATGTAATATACAACTTTTATAATATAAGTTCTTTGTGTTTTCAGATATCTTTATGCCTTTGATATTAATGATTGATTTCTATATATTTTCCTCTGCAGTTTGCTGTGTTGATGTGGATCCTGACCTACGTCGGCTCCCTGTTCAACGGCCTCACTATTCTCATTCTCTGTGAGTATAATGTCAAATCATGATAAGAAATGGTCATACATATTTTTTAATTTTTTAAATGAACTGGCGATACAGTTACACAAATAAATGACTTACATGTGTTTTTAATAATGTCATAAAGTCTCCAGTCAAGTCTAAAACTCGTCTGAGGCGTTCAGGGTCTGTCAGTAATTTTTAACCTTCTTCCTCAGCTCTGGTCGGTTTGTTCAGCTGCCCGATCGTCTATGAGAAGCATCAGGTAAGTTTTTAATATTAATCCAATAGTTATTATTTTTCCTGATTTTCTTTTTTTCAATAGATATTAATAAATAGGGTTTTTAAAAAATAATAATATTCATCTTAACTTTTTTTTTTTTTTTTATCCTTACTCATTTATTCTTCTTTGTGTTTTCAGACTCAGATCGACCACTACCTGGCTCTGGTCAACAACCAGGTCAAAGACGTCGTTGGAAAGTAAGAAACGGAGCTCCTAAAACATGTTTTTATATGATAATGGTAGTTTGTAGAGACCGACACGAATACGAGCAGGAAGCTAATTATAGACTCCTGACAAACAATACATGTACATAATATTTACAATAATTTTAAAGACAACCCTTTTTGATTAAATACTCCTTTCAAAGACACCAAACTTAATTGGAAAAATGTAATTTTACCTCGCAGGACAAAGGAATTGAACTAGCCTTCAGTCCTGCTGGGACTCTTAGATTTGACTAAGAACAGCAGGTTTAAGTACCAAAAAATGGAGAAGCAACATCACGTCGTTCAGCCAAATGTTACATGGTTGATGACGCTATATTTGGCTAAAGCGAGCAACTCCCATGTTCTTTACTGTTAATGAAGTTTGTTGGCAAAGTATGCTAAACATTAGCCGTTTTCACACCAAGTAATTCACCGTACTTAGTCCCGCCGAACTCTTTAGTCCCGGAACTGTCCTAGTAGATCGCGTTCACAATGAATAAGGCAATGGGCTAATGCTAATGCGAGCAAATAAAATGGCGGCTTCACAATACTTTTCGGAGTTTTACGGGGCGTGGTTTGCAATTCGCCCAGCCAATCAGAAATTGGAACCTTTTTCTCCCCAGAAAAGTACCACCTCTCTAGCAGGGAATATCTGGGGGTGAAAAGGTTCCAGAGAACTAAGTTCTAGTCCCAGATCTTGTTGGTGTGAAACCTAAATCCCAAGAACTATCAGCCTAGTTCTTGGGAAAAGTACTCCGGTGTGAAAGCGCCTATAGTGTTCTATAAACTCTATTTTTAAACTCGTCCTTACTCACTACAAAGTCAAAGATATTAATACTTTTATATTGTAGTTGTTAATCTTTTTAATTTCTTCTCTCCTGCAGGATCCAGGCGAAGGTTCCCGGGATGAAACGAGTGAAAGCAGAGTGAAAAAACGTCAAGTCGGAGTTTGTTTTCAGGAAGTCCTGACCAGAGAGAGGGGGNGTTATTTTATGGTTAACTGAAACGCCGTTGTGTCCCTCAAGCTTCGAGCTAGCGTGCTGTCGACTTTTGTGGGTGGGTGGGGGTGGGAGGGCTTGTACTACCATTTAAAAACTTCATTGCTTCTGAGTAACTCTAGTTAGAAACTTCTAGAAAAAACCTTTGCCAGACGATTTAAACACATTAATTACATACAAAGTCGTTATTTCCATGTCCATTTGCTGCTGTTTAGTAAAGAAAACACGTTTACATTCATCCACATCAGATAAAATATTTAAAAAGTACAAAAATAAATAAAAGGGGTTTAAAAAAATAAATAACCATACTGTCTGTGGAGCCAATATCTTAATAAAGTTGCAACTTGATGTGACTTTTGGGAAAGCTTTTGTTTGTTATGCAAGTATAATTGTGAATGATAAACTTCATACTTCAATTGTGACGATAAAAAGCTTCCCGCCGGGAGCCGTGTTTGTGGAATGCATTGTGAGATGTAAACAATTATCAATAAAGCTTCTAGATGAAGAAAATACCTGCCTCCTCATTTGTCCGTAACGTTAGCCTCGTTTAGCTTCTGATAGCTTTCGCTAGCCTCAGTTAGCTTCTCATAGTGTTCTGTTGCTTCTGATAGCTTTTGTTAGCCTCCGTTAGCTTCAGATAGCTTTTGTTAGCCTCTGTTAGCATCTGATAGCTTTTGTTAGCCTCTGTTAGCTTCTCAGTGTTCTGTTGCCTCTGATAGCTTTCGTTAACTTCTGTTATAACTTCAATACAATTTTACAAATGATTGCTAGTTATACACATTGTTCTATGATGACTAGACCCAATCTATTTGTATTATATTTATTAGAAGTTAACTGAAATGCATCCTCTGGAAGCTTCTTCCATGCTAAGGATGTTTGGATTGAATTTGGTTATTACCAAAATAAATTAACAAACTCACGAGAAAAATCTCACACATTATCTAAGATTAAGGTTACAAAATTAAATTAAAAAAAACACATTTTATGTGAAGTAACCTCACCCTTTCACCACTTTGATCTGATATTTAAACAAATCTGATTTTACCCTCTTTTCTCCTGCTTTGTCTCTATGATCCCAAGCTGCTTCACCAAGACTCACCACCAGTTCTACTAAGATACTTTTAGATACACTTTCATGTATGTAGAACACAACTGGTAGATTATGAAGTACTTTAAGGAATTTAGTTTCTTTATTATTTATTATTTTTGGATAACAGGTGACCTTTAAATTTCAGTGAGACTCATTTGACAGATTTGTGCTCAATTCTCTCACAAAGGCACTGTAAGCATGAAACCTTAACACTACTCGAAAATGAAGTACTTGGTCTAAATAGATTTTCTTTAAGAATGTGACTCTTAAAAACACTTTGAGATTTTAACACTATTTCAGTGAGACAATGCAGTTTTGTTTTTTTACATTTTTTGCAAAATTACAGATTTACAGGAACTATCCGAGAATCAAACCTTAGTCCAGGGGTGTCCAAACTGCGGACCATTTTGAATCGGCCCTCAGCAAATTCAAAAAGTATAATGACTTTAGTAGAATAAAATTCTGCTTGTCTTATATTATACTTCTTAAATATATATGATCAATTATATTACACTGTATTCATGTGTTAATAAGCTCAATTTTCAAATAAATTCAGTCAATTAGAGTTGAAAACATGTTCTAACACATCATAGTTGATAAGAAAAATCCCAATGACTTATTTATATAACAAGCTTGAAATACACCCTTCATATTTCCTCTTATCAATCTGAAGCTCTGTTTTAAGGAATTAACTGCCAACAGAATAAATTAAACCCTCTGGAGAGCTGTGAGGTAGGCTGTTTTTCACTTAAAGCATTTTCAAGCATCAAGAATAATTTACCAAATTATTATAATTTTCCCAACTTCCCAACGTATGAGGCTACAAGTGAGTGGCCCAGCCCTTCCTATATTTTTCTGTATCTGGCCCTCGTGAAAAAAGTTTGGACCCCACTGCTGTAGTCATAATTCATGTATCTTCGGTCAGGTCAACCAAAGCAAAAACTCAAGTCCACAATCTCTGGTTGTTCGTATCAAACTTTCATTTATTGTGTATTTTCAGGCGGTTGTGTAAATGAGAACTATTTTTCCTCAGACAGAAAAACAATGTGCCTTGTGATTACTTCAGGGACCTTTGCAGGAAATTGTGTGTGTCAACAACACTTGTTTATCACACAAACGGACTCTTTTGACACTCTTTACAACAGTTAATATTCAGACACAGAGAACTCGTCCACACTGAAATTTAGGCATAAATAACACTTAGATATCTTCCATAAATATTTCTCTTTACATGTATTTATTTTCTGTTTTACGATCACAATGGTCCTTTCAAAAACAAAAAGCAGCAGCAAAGAAAATATTTTTTATATTTCTGTCCATTTCAGGTGGAATAAAACATTCTCAGTGTAGCACCAGACAAAGTATAAAATAAGTTAAATAGTGGAATAAATAAAAAAACAACAGTGTATGAAATATCCCCCTCCCAAAGCAAACAAACACAAGTATAAAGTTCCAGAAAGGCACTTAAGTTTCATGAAGTCCAACGACAGATGCAGTAAAGGCTTTTTTGAAATAAAAAGAGAGCTTCTATGAATTTAAAACGTATATTTTTTCCCTTAATGTTTTGTTTTGTAATGATTTCTGACGTCAGATAAATCCAGTTTCTCCTCTTAATGGTCCCATAAGTTTGGCTGTTAAACACTCACCCATTTTTCCATTGGTGACCTGAATGCAGCATCAATCCAGGAGGCTGGTTTATAAAAGATACACAAACAAAAACTAGACAAAATATAATTATAAAATACTATTCATTAACCATCTGATTACACCTCTGAATATGTCATATTAAGTCTATTTATATGGAAGACTAGAGCTGCTATTACATCAAATACATATAATAATAAAGAAATGATGGTGACACTAAACCGCTATCGATGTGAGTAACACCTACGTCACTTCCGGGCAAAAAGTACAGCTCCGCCCACCTTTTGGGGAAAACAACGCTGTCATTTGAATGGCGGTCAATACAAATTCGGAAGTTTTTGCCAATCCGATCAGAAATGCAACAACACCGTGGATTTTCTGATCTTTAAAGAGCCCGATTACGATGGCCAGTCGGGCAAACAATTACATTAAATCATTGGAAATCGACGATCGGGCTCGATATATGGTTAAATTAAAATCAGTAGGCGACTCAATAATTTCGCCAGCTGTTACGCTCATGAGCGAGGCGGAAAATAATTGTTTTATCATGCCAAAAAGCTGCTGTGTCGTTTATTGCACCTCAAACATTAAAACAATCCAGAGTTACGTTTTTCTGTACTTCCTCTGAGAAAGAAGCTCTGTGGCTTCAGGCTTGATCGCCGTTCAAATGAGTGTTGGTTTCCCCCAAAAGTGGGCGGGGCCGTAAAGTGACATACACGTTACTCTCATCTATGGACATCGATCGCCTACTGCTATATTTAACCATATATCGAGCCCGATCGTCTATTTCTAATGGCTTAATGCAATTGTTTGCCCGTCTGGCCATTGGAATCGGGCTCTTTGAAGATCCAAAAATCTCCGGTTTTCTTACATTTCTGATCGGATTGGCAAAAACTTCAGAATTTGTATTGACCGCTATTCACAAAAGTGGGCGGAGCCGTCATTTTTGCCCGGAAGTGACACATGTGTTACTCTCATGTATTGATTCATTGATAGATAAATTAATAAAGATATGTAGGAATAAATGCCTCAATTATCAAATAAGTGTGCACCTGGTTTTTAAATGTGTTTATTTACTTATTTATTTCTATGAATAATAGATCAATATTAAGATTTGTCAACTAAAAATACCAATTTGGTTTATTTCTAATTTAGATTTCCAAAATAACACACATTTGTTTATTAAGGCTTTAATTTCTACGTGTATTCATTGAGTTATTTATGTATTGTAATGGCAGCTTTAGTCCTACATAGATATCTGAGCTTTCATAAGTATTTTTAGTATATATATATTTAATTTCTAGTATGAACATTTACAGCAGCTAATAACCATAAACAGTTTGTAATCAGCTGTTTTTTTCTTCATTCAATAACAAGTTAAACAGAGACACCAAATGTATTTTCACATATTAAATATTTTCGGCCCCAAAATAGACTTGATAAATGAATGTATCCACAATGATTCATAAAAAATAAAACTTCATACATCTGACAAATACAAATAGATATTTACGTCTTGTGTGCACACAGATTTTATGCATCTCGCTCCAGGGAAATAACGTTTACTGTGAAAATCCAAAATGTTGTTGTGTTGTCTTCTGGTTCTCGTCAGTTGTTTATTTTCAGGGTCATGTGATCATTGTTTGTCTGCAGGCAACGTTGTTTCTGCCTGTTCTCCAGCTTGTAAACTCTGTTGGCGAAGGTTGAAGGTCGCTGGTTCGATTCCCTCTGGATCCACTTGTGTTAAGGCGCTCAGACGACAGGAAGCTGTGTTTTAAAGACATTTCCACACGAACACGCTGCAACACACAACACAACAATCAACACACACATTATCACAGGTTCCCTTTTATGCACATTTTTGACTTACTGTACTATAATTGTTTTCATGTTTTCGAAAAACAATACTATGATATTTTTCAGATTTTAAGCCTTTTTTAATAAAAAATGTC